CCTGCTGAAGATCGCAATTTGTTTAAAGAATTAACTGTGTAGTATAAATATGAACTCGATAATGAAAATGAATAGAAACTTGTACAGTTAAAGCATAGTCATCGTAAAAAAAATTATGAAATTTTAATATAAATATTTTTAATAATTTAAATAATTGTCATAACATTGTTTATTTCTTATTTTAAACATTATTACGTAAACTCGAGTACTTGTTAAAAAGTGATCAAGATATTTATTTATTATTTAACGTATTATCATATTATTTTAAAAATATATTTACGTTACGAATTTAATCAAGTATTATTTAAATAATTTTTCGATTTTGTAACGAATTATAATATTTAAAGCATGTTTTGCTGTAATTATATGAATTTATTTAATATTAATATATTAAATAAATTGTACAAATAGAATAAAATAAAAAATAAATAGTAAAAATACGGTTAAGAAAAAAGTTTGATAATTAAACAACTTTTATGAAAAATGTATTATCGAATTCTATTTTATATTATTTTGAATAAAAATTCTTACTCACCGAGTACTATTGAACGAATCCTATAGATTACAATATACGGTAAATGTAATTTTTAGATTTAATTTTATGATAAAGTGATTCCTCCAATGAGTCTAAAGAGTAATTTTTATTAGATTTATAATAACATAAAAATTTGGATATATATATATATATATATCAATAAAAATAATCAAATTTAATTTAATTCTCTGCAAATTGTTCATTTTTTCATATTCAGCATATTCAAATAAAAGGAGTATTAGTAAGTGAACAAGTGGTTATTATAACTTATCACTCATTATTTTATCCTTCGCAACTGTTGAAACGAATTTTTTTTTCTTTGCAGATTCATTGATTTAACGTTTGAATAAAAAACTATTTTGTTATAAATTTTATTATATTAATCTTCGGTGGTTGCCTATATAATTTTTTGTTAGATATTTCGGTAATGTTTTGTTGAGCGATACGTATCGTATCATTAAAATAATTTTATTCAAGGTCATTAATTGCTATAAATTTGTTGAATATTATTGAATTAATAGACCGTATGGCATTGGCTTATTGACAATATCACGAGGCAATTAAATTTTTATTTGTTTACATATACATGTAATTATTTACATTTATAAGTCAAAGATAATGTTAAAAAATGTCATTAAGTGTGTGAGAAACTGTTAATGGTTTTTAAATAAAAGCGAACATCAATTCATACGTTTAAAAAAAGGGTAACTTTAAATAATTTGTTACATTATACCTCGACATAAAGCTCCTGATTGTAATATTGTAATATGAAGACAATAATATACTTTTTTGTTATTTTTTTGGGTACAATTTAGTCATTTCAAATATTTTATCGTCAGAGCGTATCAAGGCACAGAAAATAGCAGTGGACTACGTAGGTACTGAACTTTTTATACCTACAACTAAGTGAATAACGAATTTTTCTTAATTTCAAATCGTATTGACGAAATGATTAATAAGAGAAGTGAAATAAATTTAATATAGAAGAATCCGGTTATCATAAAAGGCTTTGCATGATTCGCTCACTGTACTCGCAGCGTAAATTCTTAAGCGATGAGATTACCCATTCGTTTGCATTTTAATCTGAACGTAAAAATAAAATGTTATATTACAATAATGCAAACTAAACTATAAATTCGATGTATTTTACAGTACAGTATTTTATTTTCAAATAAATGATTGACTTCGCGTAGAGAAGTGTTGAGCACTGATTAGATGAAGAATTCTCGTAACTCGGCAATCAAATTATATTCTGTGGTAACGAAGGGTTTGGAAACGCTGGCATCCTTCCGGCGCGCCATTGCGCCCGTGACCCATTTCTCTTAAGCTCGCGCCAAGTGTTTCCCGACCTTTCACTCGACGTAAAAAGGAAAATGAGGCGCCCTCGACTGAAAAGGCTGCCTCTGAATGTAAACGTTCCATCTCGTATTTCATCGCGTATAGAGAGCGACGTGTATCTGAGAATCCGTGCGAAAGGGTGCAAAGCCCTTTTTTCCCTTCCTTTCCAAGCTGACAACGAAGTGCCTCGCCGCCCGAGTTTCCTACGTCCTTTTGTGCGCGTGTGTGCGTGCGTGCATGCGTGCCTGTGTGCGCGTGTGCTGCGCGAAAAATGCGCCTCACCTCTTTCTCCTCCGCGTTTTCGGGGGATAATGCGAAAAAGGCCAACAACAACGGGTGATCCTCATAGGGACAAATAGCCCGACCGGGAAAGAGGGAAGCGTGGAAAACTGCGGACGGCTGACATCGCAGGACGAAAGGCCTGACGCTCGCCAATCGGTAGGGGTGACGTGTCCATTTGTGGTTGACCGGCTTGACTGTCGATGCGACCAACAAGACCTACGCGTATCCCCTACCCTTGGGAAAATTTCTCTTTTACCGTATTTTCAGCTTTATGTTTTTAATAAACCTCTCCAGAGCTAATCCTTCAGCATATTGGTTTTTCAATTTTTCCATCTATGTCGATCGTACCGCAAGCGTTTTCGGCATTTACGCACTTGCGATTTTTAAACTATATTTTCCCGTTGACGTTTCAGCGATTGCGTACATTTAGCAAATGTTCCTTCGTATCGGGACTCTTTTCCCAACGCTAAGCATAGCGTCGCTTAAACTATTTATCAAAGTTTCTATTTTTCTTTTTGTCGTTTGCTTTTTGCTTTTTTTTCTTTTAATTTAACCGATGTATCAATTACACCACTAATAACAACGATATCGTACGATTTTGTACATTTATTATTGGAAAAATTGTTCGTTAATATATTTCCTTATTTATCAAATTTTATTTTTTATATTTACATTTATGTGTAAATAAAAGATTTTGACAATGAACGGTCAACATTTTTCGGACTTTCGAGGTAACTTGCTTAATTATGCAAGATTGATGCAGTGAAAGAACTTTACTAAGCCGGATGCGTAACCATTGCAAACCTTTTTTCCGTTAAAATTTAGCTGAGTTGTGATGAGAAAGGAACGATTCACTTTTATTGTTGTAGTGCCGAAAATATTTAGGAATATTTTTCTAAGAAATATATACTTGAAAACTAACGATAACTAATAATAATATAGCAATAACCTACAACAACTTCACTTTAATAAATCATGAGAAATTTACAAAAATTACGCACTTGTGAACACTTTTAGCAAATGTTTACTTAAAGACAATAATTATAATATAATCAATTGGCATTATTTTCATGCTTATATCTCAAATCGAATATTACACATTACCAGGAAATAATTATTTTCTAAAATAAATCATTCCGCTTCTAAAATTTTTAAATATTATTTCAAATTAACAAAATTTAATCGAAATATTCTAAATAATGAAAAATCGTTCGTACGAATAAGAAAATTAAAAAATTGGTATAAACATATGCTTTACTTTTTATCATTGTTACATATCAATCTTTTTTTTTTTTTACGAATTAAAATAAATGTGTCATATCTGATTTTATAATATGTTGATGTCTCAAGTATTAATAAAATTTTGGAAAAATGAATTTTAAAATAAATTGTTAGTCAGTAATAAAAGCATTAGAACATAAAAAAATTAATGAAAATAAATTTAAAGAAATATAGAAAGTAGATTAATTTTATTATTTATTTCGTTAATTTAAATGATTTTCTTCTTCTTCATCATCTTCTTCTTCTTCTTCTTCTTCTTCAAAAAAAAAAAAAAAAAAAAAAAAAAATAGGATAAGAATGAAAAAATTTCATTATTCTTATCACATATTTACTACTCGTATAACAATCGTCTAGGCAACAATTATCTTAATCAAACGATGAAAAATTATAATAAATATATTTTTTTTCAATGATTCACATTAAACAATTGAAATATGACAATTATATTCCAGAAATATCATAGTTGTTTTTAATTTTTTTTGTTGAACAGTTCTAAAACAAATACATTTAGATATTACGTATGTTTCACTGTGACAATGTTTTATCTAAGATTACATTAGTGTGATCATCTTCTGTTTCTAAAAGATATATATTTGAAAATGTACATCATAGATATCGGTATAGTAAATACCACCACGATCCTAACGTAACGAGGGGGTCTAGCTTTCTTCTGCGATTACGATATTACAACTTGAACAAAAGAACTGTAAATAGACATCAATAGATTTAGTTGGTAGGTAGGGAACAGCGACAATTCAATTCCAGATCAAATAAAGTTACTTACTTTTTATCTGCATTTCCACGTAATAAAAGTTGTAAAATGATTTTCAGAACTGCGTAATTAAATGAATATATTATAAAATAATAAGACATCAGTTATTATTTTATTTATTTATGTCTTAGAATGCTTGCAGAAGCCGAAAAATGTTACTTAATAATTTAATGAAACTTTTAAAATTTCAATTGTGATGGTTAAACTAGAAATATTAAAATAATCGAGGTAGTAGAGTGTAAATTTTGTTATAACATCGACGTGAAATCGTTAATTATATTAAAATGAATAAATCAGAAGTTTTTAAAAGTAATCTAAATGAAATTTGACAAAATAAAATTAACTAAACTATAGGGGATCGATAAAGATGTAATATTTATGCAAAATTTGCATTAATGTAGTAAAGAAGTAGGGAAGATATTTTGATAAAAGAATTTGAATTTATAATCATTAAAAACTTATGAATAGATTAAGCAGATCAGGATATTTATAATGTTATAGTGGTGTATATGTAATGTGGGTATGGAGGATTAAATATATATAATTAAACGTAATATTTTATCTTAATTCGTGATAGAATTTTATAAAGATAGAATAATGATTTTTTAGTAGAATAAAATTAATTTACAGTAATTATTAAATAAAAATTACAATATTATAGATGAATAATATGAAAAATCAAATATAATATTTACAAAATTCTAAATTAACAAACATAAATAATATTTAAACAACGTTTTTATTTAATAAAGTAACAATTACACAATGAAGATCGTGATTAAGAGATTGTATAGAAAAACGGAAATGTAATATTTTATATAATGTAGATTAAAATGGCAAATGATTCTATGGACGAAATGAAAAACAAATGCGCAGCGAATGGATTTTTGTAAATCTAATAAATCTTTAGATTAAATTAAAATATTATATTAAGTTGATTGTTATTATTTTTTTACTGTTTAAAAAAAGCAAGTGTAAGCTTATATAAAGTATGTAGATATAAATGTAATTTTTATATTGATATAAATGAATAATCAATGTGAGATTGTATGAAATGAAATAAAATAAAATTATAAGTATTTATCCTAACATATTCAATTTTGTAATATTCACGTAGTAAGCATTCAAGGTTAAGTATTAAATGTAAAGTTTTAAATGATTTATTCTAAGCAATAAAATATATTATGGCAAGTAATAGGTGTTAGACGTATGCTCACTAATAATATACATTAGCTAGATAATTGTTATGACCGTTAACTTATTTTAGTTTAATTCTGCAATAGAATATCGGTAATCATGCATAATTTTAATTATATATGATAGAGTAGAAATTATTATTGAAATAATGATTTATATTAAATTGTATTTGCTAATAGGAATAAATATTGCTGAAACATAAATGTATAAATATACATGATACATAAGTATAATAGCATTAATATAATAAACAATTATAGCGTTCATACGTCGCATAAAGTATTTTTTATAAAATAGTGTATTGTTAAATAGTTGCAGTCATTTATCAATAGAATTTTAGTCGTTCAAGTAAATATTTACTTTTATTTACAATATATATTATTTAAAGAAGCTTATAGATCCTATAAATTTTTTTTTTTTTAACACAATTTCACATATAATTTATATGAAAAATGTTGTTGCTTAATGCGCGCCATAAATAATAGTTATATTAAAGAAAATTTTGTTTTATTATCGGTCGATGCATTGTGAATAATATAAAGTTCCGAATAATGATATTTAAAATATGTATAATTTATTTTAAAAAAAAAAAAATAAATAAATAAATTATTAAATAAATAAAATAATAATAATAACACGAGAATGAATGAATTAATATGAGAGGTCAGAAGTATTCCCAATGATTTAAGTATTTCTGTGTAAACAAGATTTAAATACAGTCACTAACGTCAGCAAACAATAGTTGTATTAATTTTACTTCAAACGATAATGTTCTGTAACTAGAGAGAGAGAGAGAGAGAGAGTTAAGAAGTACGGGTATGCTAGTAAGTAGACACACACTTTGTCTCGATCAGATTTTCGAAAGAAATCGGCAAAGAAAGAGAGTCGCTTCTCGTCTATCCCGTCCTCGACCTCATTCAAGTCCAGCGTACTTTTAATAACTAATGGTATGCTTGGAAGAAGGGCAAAAATGTAAATGGGTCGTCTGGTATGAGAGCGAGCGTAAAAGATGGGAAGATTTGTAGTAGGAATCTTGATTTTGGGTAAGAAAGCGCGCGGAAGCGTCGAGCACGACAAAAGCGCAACTTGAAGCGAGGCTGAAAATTTTTCGCAATGTAATCTTGCGTATTGATCTTGGGAGAAAAGGGGTTGCCTTCCGCACATAATGGGCTCTGCTGGTCTCTTGGCTCGGTTAAGTCCGAGTTAGGTCGGATTAGCAGCGTTGGGGTCCCTCGGACATCTGTCGTATTGATGGACGCTGGTCAGCCAGATCCAAATGAACAACAATTGATGCTGCGAGTGTATGCACAAAAGTTCATTTCCTCTCCCCCGCCTCCATCGATCGCTTTATTTTTCCTGTCGGGTGTCTGGCCGCGAAGCTTTCTCTGCTTTATATGTAAACAGTCGAGCTGGTGTTTATTTTCAGCCGGCGGCTTCTTCAATTGTATTTTTTTCACGGCTTTTAATCAGACGATAGTCCCTTTGCTACACATTTTTCCGTTCGTGCAGCGATTTTGGCGAATTTTATTTATCCCATTAATCGTGATCTCATGATCGCCAATTCCGTAAGCGATCAATTAATACTTTATTCGTATGTAAAATACGTATGTCTATGCAAAAAGTTTGAAATTGGACTCTCTGTTTAGAAGTGCACATTCGTTAGTTGCCTCAGTTCTAGAAATATGAAGCTTAACAATTTTAAGCATTATTCGACGAATGAAAAGAAAAAGAAGAGAAAGAAGAAATCATAAGATTATTAGGCACGCAGGTTGTTGGATGGGTATTTTGCATGGATGCAAACGAGTCGTATCGATCATTTTTAAAATTCACCAGAGAGCGAGAGAATTCATTCAATGCGTTGGTGCGTTTCAACGGCGAACGCAATAGCCATAAAAATCGTCGAACTCGAGCTAATCGATTTGTGTTAAGTTCCAGGACTCATCACAAAGTCATGATGAGGAGTCGACGGATGGTAAGTTGCGCGAAAAAAAAAAGAAGAAGAGGGGCGCGCGTCCGTCAGGAATTCCCCAAAGCAAGATCGATCCTCCGAGCTCTAAGGAAAAATATAGCGGTACATTGAAAGGACTAAGAAAGACGTCGGTGGTGCTCTCGCGCGACTGCGACCTCCGACCGCGCAAAAGCCCAACCTCGCACAATGTTACTTAATAAGCTTATGCACGCACCAGCGAGAAAAGACTCCGTTCCATCGAACGGCTTGCAGATGTCAAGCGCTCGTCATATTTGATATTTTCGCCCTCGACTACTTTGTGGTCATTTCTCTCTCTCTCTCTCTCTCTGTCTCTCTCGCTCTTTCCCGCTCTCTCCCGCTCTCTTTCTTTCTCTCGTATGCACGCGCTGGCCCAGACTCCATTCAATCGACGACAATTCTCTCCACTTGCGACTGTGCTGGGCGAAAGAGTTTTCTCCATCCGTTAACGCACCACTACCAACTCACTATTTTCGGCAGGCAAAATCTCGCTATGACAGCATTGGCCAACTTTTCCAATACCTTGTCTCATACGATGCACTTCCTCCTCCTGCTCTAAGTCCCTTTTCTCTCTCTCTCTCTCTCTCTCTCTCTCTCATTGCCTCACTTTCGAGACTTTTCTCCCGAGTGAAAGGCATAAAGAAATTCGAAGAAAGGAAAAAATTTTCGTTTGATGGATTGCATTCGCCTCGAGCTTGCTATAGTGCCTCTGCCTGTAACAATTTCTAGGGGATCCAGCCAAACTTATTGCCTATAATTGCCTTATATTACGCGCAGATACCTTTTTGAGAACAACTGCCAGTTTCGCATTACACAACTCTATGCTCCAGATTATTAATTTATGTAGACATTTGTCAACCACTGGCTACTATGCATTTCGTAAATGTACAACTATAATATTATATGGGATTATTGTAAATTCGCAATTAATCCTATGTGTTGTTTGTAAAATTAAACGGCGCACTTTATCGTCAAAGTAAATAATTGCTCAGTCATTTGTATAATCTCAATTGGCCTACCTTTAATTGCGCGCCTATTTATAAAATCCCAGCTAACGCGCTCGTTATTAAAATACTTTTCATATGTTTTGTTTTCGGATGCCTAAGACACTACTTTATTATGCAAGTCATTTAAAAGATATTAAAATAGAATTAAACGTTTGAAATAAAGTGTCAATCCATTGTCGTATCCATGTGTTGTAACGTTTTTGACAAACGAATGGAAACGCATTGCGATATTAGAGATTTCGTTCGAACGCATGTGCATCCTGCACGTACCGATTGTTCATTATATTGTCAATTAGTCTGGTAGTCTGGTAGATACTGGCATAGGAAAATTGTAGATTATCAAATGCGACGAATGCCTTTCGAGAAATGATGTGCTTTATTAGCGTTCGTTTAATAATATTTGGATCGCTAAGCTTTTAAGCTCGAGTTGGTAAGATTCAAACAAATACTGTAAACAATTTTATTCATAAGGCTTATGGATGAATGTGATTTTTTGCTTCAAATGTAATCTGTCGATGTATGTCTACAGTTGAAAAATTTAAGGCTTTTTATGATGTTTTATTTCTACATATTTTTATTAAAAGGAATATATATCTGTTTTTATTACTACTTTTTCGAAAATATTGGCAAGTATTGTTATTTATTTGACATTTCATTTGACTTTCTTAAAGGGTTAATTCGAAAATATTTCTAAGTCTGTAGAGCTGAAAAAATATTGGTATTTTTTAGGAGGCAAATTAACAATAAAATGGGAAATACAACAATATAGCTTATAATATTTTTAATCGCTAAATAAGGCCTCAGTGTAATGATTTTTTTTTTCATTTAAAAGCGATAAAGCGCTTGTAAATTCCGAGCAAAGGAGTTTTTTTGTTTTTTGTTTTTAATAATTATAAACATTTCTGTATTTCGACAGGTTTTCAACAAATTCGGACGCTTATATCGTTGGTCGAGATGCACAAACGTGGACCTATGAAAAAGAAGAAAAAGAAGAGCCCACTTAATGGGAATCCGTTTGCGAAAGGCGTCGTGATAAAGACTCTTATAAGAAAACCAAAGAAACCGAATTCAGCGAACAGAAAGTGCGTACTAGTGAGATTGTCGAATGGGAAAGAGATGACAGCTTATATTCCAGGTAATCCAGTGGAATTGATTTTCGAAATTGTTAATGTTTTGCGAGAGATATTGACCGGTGGAGTATGATTTTACTTTTTTGTTGTTAGGCATTGGACATAATTTACAAGAGCACAATGTTGTTCTCTGTAGAGTTGGCAGATGCAAGGACGTTCCTGGTATCAAAATTAAGTGCGTCCGGGGTAAATACGATTTGGCACATGTTATGAAGCGTAAATAAAGCTAACTCGTTTTCCGTAAAAGTGCACTTGTAGATGTGGATAATATATAATTAAATTGTACAAAATATTATATAATAAACGATAGTTAATAATAAGATCATGGCGTGGCAATGTAAATTAAATAACTTATTTGAAATTCTTCATTGATTGGCGTTTCGTGTGAAAATGCGGGTGAACTGTAAATCCAACCGTCCTTACCCTTAATTCACTCTATAATCCATATTGGCTTCAACGATATTCAATTCACAATTCGAATTCAAGCAAACGCGCCTTTAAAAACTTCTAAATTAACCTAATTTTATGCATTATGTACATTATTGCGTCAAAATTCCACGAGATTAACAGCGTCATATTTCAAAAATATTAGTACGTCTCTTTATTTTCATCTATTATCGCCAAGAAACAAGTCTCAGCGAAGTTAGAGTTAAAATTGGCATGCCACATACAATAATGGGCGAATGGACTTACTAGGACGAGGCTACCATCGCATCCAAGCCCGAACGGACTCGTACGGAATTTCACGTACACTATTGGACAAGTGAATATTG